CGGATCCCAACTCCAAAGAGCTCGGTCAACAAGCACCGCCATCAAGACTACAAGCGATCAAGCAACATGCAAGTCGAGCTTTCCCTAGAACAAGTCAATCAAAGACCGCAATTCATCCGAGTCCAATACATCTCAAAGCCAAAGAAGGATCGTCCAATCAAACGGAGGAGCACGACAAGGATGAGGAAGCAAGCAAGGCCAACATATGTGTATATACTCATACACAAGAGACAAGATCAAGCAATCCACGATGATGACTCGTACTCTTAAATTCGCACCCCATGTCGGGCCATTTATATCCACCACATCAATATCCAAAGTTTGATCCAGAAGCACCATGTCCGATTGCACCGAGCAAACTAGCAAGCAAGCCGACTACAATATGGATCCACCAAAGAAAAAGCAAGCAAATTATTCATGCTCTACAACTCCATGACATGTTGATGACGCAAGAAAGAAGTCCACACCATTAATCGAGACGAGCATGCAAGCCAATTAAATATTGAGGCATATATACACATATACATACAAGATACAAGAGACATGCGAGTGCCCATGCGTGCATGTATCATGTCCGGATCTCGCTCACTATGCCAACATATGGTCGTGACGGAGAATCATCTTGTACTTGAATCAACTACGCCAACAAGCAAGTCATCAAGTCGCGAGCAACCAAGTACCAAGCATCTGACCGATTGCTACCACAACACGGAAGCAAGCCGAATCAAGAAACAAGTCGTCCAAGCCAAATAGCAAGCAAGCCAAGACCGACTACTCGGCCGAGGAGTTCGAGTACTCGGAAACAATTTAAGCGAAAGGAACACATGACCTCCGCAAACAACTCGGATACGATATCCGACTACGGTGACCAGCTACTAGGCTGAACGGCGCACCGATCGACTACCCGGCTGCGGTGGTCAATAACTCTGTCATAAACCAAGCTAAGTGACGCTTTAATTTTTTACATTCCGAATATTATTCGTATGCCTCTGTGGCCATATCATCTTCCCTTAACGGCTGTTAATTTCCTCGGATAGTAAGCCTTAATTCGTGAAGCTTGTTTTCTCGAATGGATGGTCACATCAATGAACCTCTGAACCATACGGATGGTCACATCAAAGAACCTCTGAACCATACGGGTGGTCACGTCAATGAACCTCTGAACCATACGCGAGATTCAAGTGCTTAAACGTAACAGGCTACTACCCAGGAAATTAACCGACCTAGCAAGGGAAGACACAAAAAAATCATCATGCGAGCAAACATAGTGCTCTAAGTAAAATCATCATGTGAGCAAACATAGTGCTCTAAGTCTTCTCTTAAACGGTCGCTAAAGTCCTCAGGTAGAACATGCCTTAATCCGTGAAGCTTGTCTACTCACATGGACGGTCACGTCAATGAACCTCTAAACCAAATGCTAGGCTCACATGGTCATGTCAATGAACCTCTAAACCATACGCCAGAGATTCAAGTGCTTAAACGTAACAGGACACTACCTGAGGAATTTGCATGGCCTAGCAAGAGCAAGACGCAAAAAAAAAGTTTATATGCATTTTATGATGCCGGGGCCCGCCCCTGATTGATTATTCAACTATGGGACATGCTCCCGACTTCATATCCGGAATGTCATTTACAACATATTTTTATGTTTAACATGCAGGGGAGCTGAGAGCTAGTCCAGAAACAACCTGGTTTGATCAAAAAAGAACCCCGACAAGGTGCGACAAGAACCAAGACAAGCGCTTAGAAAGAATCCGGAACGATCAGAAAACAACCCCGAAGAGGTGCTGCAAGTAACAAGACAAATTCAGAAAGAACCCGGATTGATCAGAAAACAATGCGGATGAGGTACATACAAGTTCAGAAAAAATCTAGACGAAGTGCAAACAATCTGGAAGAGGTACATCAAGAACCAGAGGTCTAGAAACAACCCGGATGAATCAAAAACAACTCGGAAGAGCATCACGGCTTAGTCTACATCTATACCATGAGATCAGGAAAAACATGCTCCTGAGAGCTATTTTACTCAGACAAGTTCAGAAACAACCTAGTTTGATCAAAACAAAACAACCCGGATGAGGTACATACAAGTTCAGAAAGAATCTGGACGAAGTGCACTGGAAGAGGTACATCAAGAACCAAAGAAGTCTAGAAATGACCTGGTTGAATAAAAAACAACTCGGAAGAGCATCACGGCTTAGTCAAAAACTAAGCTCGGGGGCTCGGCATTCGCTTCAACTACGCTCGGGGGCTCAGATTCAAGGATGAAAGACCAAGAATACAAGTACTCAAGACTACAACAACGCAACACATCAAGACCCTTCATTCGATTTCTATTCTAAAGAAAAATACTCGGAGAAGGCTCGGGGGTTGCGGGATACATAACCCCAAAAAAAATTTGAAGACAAGAATCTGGACCCTCCAACTTTTGCAAGCAAAAGCAAAAGGCTCGGGGGCTACACTCAGTGAGTGCAATTTTTACGAAAAATTGCACCCACCGAAAAAGAACTCGGAGCAACCAAGAAGACTAAAGGGACCCTCTGGCTTCTTGTCCCAACAAGCAAGAGGCTCAGGGGCTACACTCACTGAGTGCACTTTTGTCCAAAAGTGCACATCAGTCGAAGAAAAGACAAATAAGACCATCTCAAGATCTCGCTTCAAGAAAGAACCCGGAACAAGTCTACAACAACCCGGCCCTTGAAGCTCAATCATGAAATGCTCGGGGGCTTGTCGATGCGGGACCCATAAGGTTCCCCACGGAGAAGAGAGAAGAAAACCTAGTCCAAATAGGATTCTCTACATGTAATCCTACTAGGAGTAGTTACACGTAATCCTACTAGGATCTCTACTTTGTAACCGACTAGGACTCCCGCCTCTCCTGGACTATATAAAAGAGGGCAGGGGTCCCTAGATCGGCACCTACACATGACACACACATAACCAACAGAACTCACAACCACAACATACCTCGCAACACAACAAATAGCGCAGGGCGCAATATACTATCTACTCTAGACTGGACGTAGGGCGCCGTGACTTTCCGGCGTGCCGAACCAGTATAAATCATTGTCTCCCTGCGTTTACCATAGAGTCCTACAAACGCCGATACCCCTCCGAACAAATCACCGTCCCGGGTATCCCGTGACGGGTTGCCGGTGGTAAAACATCAACAGTGTCTGTGACCAACTGATAACATTATGTATCAAAATACTCTTTGTAGTGACATGGACCTTTGTTCCCTCTGGTACACCATCGTTGACCATACTACAAACACGGTAGGTGTGATCTCGCAAGATTACCCCAGCTCTTTGCTTGCAACAATAGTGCGCGCAAGCGCCGAGTAGCAAGAGGTATGTAAACCTCACTAAATACTAGGCCTAAAACTAAAGCAAGCGCTAACAAGCGGTCTCTAACTAGCCTAAGCACTTCACAAAACACTAATGCTAATCATCTAATCTTCCTTAAGCACTTCTGGTGGCCAGAGCATAAAGAGATGAGCCTCAACTCAGTAGAACCTTTCCTTACCTCCAACAACACTCAAATGGCCGGTTGGGGTGGTATATACAGCCTGCAATCCTATATATAACCGTTGGCATTTGGACTATGCACGTGAAGTGATCATCAGAAACCTTAGGTGAGACCACTAGAGAGTTCTGATGACTACCACGTCGACTAGCCATTGTCGATCATTGGAGAGCCTAAGATCCAATGGTGGATCTTCGGTGATCACCGGAAGTTTTTGGTGAGGTTAAAAACCTTCTTCATAGCATATGTATAGCACCTTTATTCTACGGTGCCTTGCATCGGAAGGTTTCGGTGCCCTCTGTCTTCTCTCCACTGCGTCTCCAACTCCTCTGGCCCTAAAATCCGTTGGTGTGGTCTCCGGTGACGAAGGGAAGTATAGGTGAGATCTTCCTCTCTGCACTTAGACTGCATAGTAAGCTGAGCTCCGGTCCTTAGCAACTCTGGTGAGTATAAGACGATCAAATCGACTCATTTAATTTAATTTTTACACTGCTCTATTCTTTGGTGCTTCACTTCATTTTACCACCGGAGCTTTCCGATGACACTATCCAATGTAATTTGAGCCTTGTTTTCTTCGTGTTATCTCATCTGAGCTTCTTCTACTTGATGCATCGGACTTTGTAAATGTCTTCAACCTTGCTTGATATATTGATCACTTAAACTTCACGTTGCCTTGTCCAAATCCATCCTTATATGCGTAGGACTTTAACTTGTATACTTGCGCACACCAATTGTACACATGATCATGATCATGTTGCCACTCAATTACCAAAAATCATATAAAGACACCCTACCTAGGTGTCATTTTCATTATGGCTGTCACAAACATTTTGTTATTTTCTAGATTAAATAGTGCTTGAATTTGCATTATTGCCTAAATATCTAACATGCTATACCGGATAATATCAGAGTTCGGCGGTGTTTGGTTGCTAGCCACACTTCACCTTAGGCAACTTTGACCAAGTTGGTAATTATTTTTGGTTGGCAATTAAACTTAGACATGAATATTTTGGCCTCCACGTGCCATAGAGTATAAAACAATGGCAAGATTTCTTTAGGCATGGTAAAGTGTGGTTTAAAATTTTTTTGCCACACCACACTTATATAAACTTAGTTGTGGCAATTTATGGCTGAGGGCCAAACAACCCCAGAATTTTGACATTGATTTTCTTTTTCTGTCTGGAGCATTTTGTTCCTATGATGGATAAAATCAGAGTTCCAGTGATTCCAATCTTCACATTTATTTCCTTTTTTCTATTTGAAGCATTTTTCTATTTTATTTTCTTTTTGGCGTCCCTTTTTGTACTTGTCAAACGATTGTCACATACGGAGCACGGACCCACTCCCTCCCCTGCCCGGCTGCCCCCTTCCTCCTCAGTTCTCCCGCGCGGTGAGCTCAGGTACAAATAGGAGACCGCCTCCGCCATGACTGGGTAGCCTCCAAAGATGAGTGGGACACCCGCGCCGTTCTGCTCATGGACGCCATCTTCTCGCTCGCGGCGGGGCCCCGGGCGTGTGTCCTGGAGCGCGCAGCGGCCCGCATCCCCGGCTGCCTCTACATCTGCCTTTGGGCGCCGATGATCGCTGGACCGCTCCCTTCCAGGTAGGTCTCCATTCCTGCCGGTTCCATGTGCTCTCGCCCGTTGCTTTCCCCTGACGTTCCTTCGTGCGATGGTGTGCATTTGAATGGGCAGCCATTTGTTTTGCGTGGACGCGTGGATCACCAACGACGGCGGCGGTCGCGCAAGGGCGGTGTTCGACGAGTACCGGAGAGCGTTCTGCGCCATCGTGAGCGGGTTAGCTTGCATTGCAACTCCATTTCAGGTTCAGCCCATGGATTGTTTAGCTCCATTTGTTTCTGACGGTGGTGGTCACCGAGCTCGCAGCTGCGTGCCCGGCTGGGCGTACAAGGACCGCCGCCCGTACATGGAGCTGTCGGAGACGGACCTCACGTCGTCGGCGTCGCTGCCCGTGCAGCTGCAGTTCTACCACGTCAGTATATGCGCCCCTGCAAACGTTAGATAGATTAGTTTCTCTTTCAAGTCTACTTCACGCTACCTGATTGCTGACATTTCTGCACTGTCGATGTTGTTGTAACAGGAAGCCGCCGGCACGAAGGTACGTTTTCTCGATTATTGGTGCGCTGCATTGCATTCCATAAATGGAGACGACGACCGTGTAGCTGATCTGCTCGAGGTGGTGGTGCAGATGGCGGTGTTCGCGGGCTGCGACAACGGCGAGATCGAGGTCGGGCTGTCGAGCACCTCGGCTCCGGCGGTGGCGAGCCACGTGCAGCACTCGCTCCTGGAGGAGCTCATGCAGGCAGCACCAACGGTGCCTTCTGTCTTCGTCGTCCTCCATGCCGTCCCTCTCCATCGGGAGCCCCGAGTACTCCTCGTTCATCCGCTCAATGGCCACGTCGGCTGCTGCCTCTGCCTCCGCCGCCACCGGCGCCGCCGAGCCATCTTCTCAAGAACTGCAGCTGCACCCGGCTGTGCCGCTGCTGCCCGGCTTGCCCGCGCCGGTATATGGCCCACACGGCCAAGCGCCGTTCCTGGACCCCGATAACGAGCAGGCTGCAATGACGCAGGCAATTCTCGCCGTCATCTCCTCCTCCGCGCCGCCACCGCCGGCGTCCATCGCCGTGCCTCCGGCGTCCTCCTTCAGGGCGTACAACGCGGCGCTCTCGCCGCGGGCGCGGCCACGGCCGGGCGCGCCGGGGCAGAGGATGATCAAGACGGCCATCGCGCTCATGGCGAGCGTGCAAATGGCAATGCGCCACCGGGAGCTCGCAGAAGCGCGCCAACATGAGGATGCCTCTGCCGCCGCGCAGCCGCACCCGCCGACGCAGCAGCAGCACACCAGCAGCCAGCTTCACCACATGTTCTCGGAGCGGCGCCGGCGCGAGCGCCTGAACGAGAGCTTCCAGACTCTCAGAGCACTGCTCCCTCTTGGAACAAAGGTACGGTCGAATACCGTTGCATTGCTTGGCTTGCAAGAGCTCACGACATCGCAAATTTGATAGTACTAATATTTACACGTGCCATCGTGATCGATCTGAAGAAGGACAAGGCCACGGTTCTTGCAAACACGACGGAGTACATGAACAAGCTGATCGCCGAAGTGTCGGAGCTCGAGGAGAGGAACCGGAGGTTGGAGGCGCAGCTTGGCCTGCTGCCCGGCGAGACCCAGCAAACGCCAAGCGACGACGACCCACCGCAGAGAGTGGCCGTTGATGTGACCACCGCCGCATCGACCTCGAGTTCAACGTCCTGTCAACCTCAGGAGGTGAGCATTAGGGTGACGGTGCGGGCTGAGTGCGATCTGTCGGAGGTTGTGGTCGCCATGCTCGCCCGGATCAAGGAGATGGGGCGCTTCACCGTGGCGACCGTCGATGCTCGGCAGCGGAGCAGCGACCATGCACAAGTCGGCATCACATTGCGAGCCACGGTACCGACTCAAAATTACTCCATATCTGTTTTCAAATATATTTCTCTCTTTTAGATTTTGTCAAGTTAAGCTTTGTTAATTTTGACTTAATTTATGCCTATATAAGATATATTTCCTTATGACTTTAATGAAATGATACATGGTGATGTATTTTTCTAAAACTTACTAGTCAAATTTTAAAACATTAGACTTACTACAAAACTGAAACGCCGGTAATAAGCTTCATGAACTAGTTGTTCTATTTAACGTGGTTATCGCAATTTAGATTCTATATATAGCTAGGCCAGCCAAAGTTAGTCTACTCTCAAACCTACAATTATATTCTTTTTGGAACTGAGAGAATAGAATACGATTTTTATAATTACAGTTAGTAGAACTTACCATTTCATGATTCTGCTTGGGCATGTTTGGTTGGGTGTATATGGGTTGGCATGGCCTGTGGGATTTAGGGAAAAGTTGTTTGGATGTTTGTATATCGGCTAGGTTCAACTAATGCAAAATTGCTCCGTCAGCCTCCGTACAAACGAGATTGAAATCCATTTCTCGCAGTCCTGGGCAACACAATGTAGCTTGGTGCTTTTGATGTATATGTTGTCTCTAAATCGGGTCAAATGTTCATGCAACCAATCAACACTCCGATACAACCAGGCCAGAGCAATATAATCAACCAAACATCGAGTCCTTACATCATCTTAGCTTGGCCAGAGTGTGAGCTTGCATCCAAAATATGAGCAGGTTGATTACTTTGGTTAGCGAAGAGAACCAAACATGGATGTTACCAAAAAACATTAATTTAAGATTTGTGTGGTTCTGACGACATCTTGATTTAATTAACATTACATATACACAACAATCACGCAACACAAGACAATCCTACGTGGAAGAACTAGCCATACTACGTGTACAATAGTACGGTCAATATTCTATTTTGATGTTTGACCTGCATGGGTCTACCATATTGACGACGGCGTCCTGGAGAGGAGATTAAGAATCTTTGAAATGTGGCCCTTGAATTGAACTCTAAAAAAAGTCTTTGAAATGTTCAAGGAAAAAACTAGCTCAAATCTGTAAAGGATAGTTCAGTGGAAGAAAAGACAAAAGACCTTTAAAGAATCTTGACCAGTTTTGCCTGTAGTAATAAAAACCGTTGACTGCATCTATATAGGTCAAATTGGCTGCTAACTAACCATGCTCTCCCTTTGAATTGGTTCTACAACACATGACCCCGTCACATGACTCACTCAAACGTGGTTGAATGCGCGCATGCTAAATAAACTTGGTAAAGTAACTTTTGTTTATGTATTCTCCTCTCAAGTCTCAACACTGAAATCTATCAGTAGCGTTCTTCTGAAGTAACATACTTTTCAAACACGAATTAGGAAGGATCATTTTCTTAATTCTTAGGCATTTCTGAATACGCAGATGATGGGAAAAAAAAAAGACATCCCCCCTTAAAGCAGTTTGTTTGACTGCACTAGTATTTATCTCAATCCTAATTCAACCACTCGTATTTATCTCAATCCTAATTCAACTAGTTTCTACCATAATCTACTCCAATACATGTGTATTAAGGTGAATATGAATGTAATCAAACGAAGCTTTAACAAGTTTATAAAACCACGGATGTTCCCTGATGTATGGATGACGTGATCTTTCAAATTAAGATACCGTACCGTCTACATCTAGGTGCACTTTCTTAATCAGTTGTTTCTGACGACGCCGTCATCCTGACAAATAAAGATTCATAACTAATGACTAGTGTGACGAAGGAGAGCTTTGAAAAGTATATGTGTAGTAGCTAGATATGAGTACCGTGCTGGTCAAAGTACTTGTTGGTGAAGCCTAGCAGCTAACGATGGGTACTACTACTTGTCAAATGAACGATGCAGGGTGGTAACGACGAGCTCGACGAGACATCCCTCAAGGAAGCTGTGGCGAAGGCCGTCGAGGATGCGGTGGCAAGACCTCCATCGCCGCCGTAGGCTGGGGGCCCGCCGCGCCGGAGCTTTTTCTAGCTCGGCTAGCACATCAGTTTTGACCGGATCAGGGCAAGGGAAAGACTAGCTAGTTCTGGTGGCAGCGATCTGTCCATTTCAATTTTGTATTTCCTCCGTTGCAAATTATAAATCGTTTTGACTTTTTTTTTATAAAATTACAATCGCTTTGACTTTTTTTAGATCCATTTTGCTGTACATGTAAAAAAAAGTCAAAACGACATGTAATTTAGAAAAAAGAGAGCCGTCATTTTTTTCCCTGTCTTGTGCTCCTTTAGGTAAGATTTGATTTGACTAGACTCTTTTTGTTTTGGCGTTGTGAGGTGAGTCATCGAGGGACAGGTAAAGTACATACCAGGACGATTAGCCATGCACCATCTAGCTGTCTGAGGATGATGTTAGTTAGCTGTGTGTGTGCGGGGAAGTAAATTTTGCCCTTGGCCAATGTGCCCTCGTGTGATTCACTGTTAATTATCTGCTCTAAGACACGTGTAACTAATCTCAGAGCAGATACAGTAGTGAATCGCATGAGAGGTTACAACCGTAAAGGCACACTTTCTCTTCCATGTAATGCCCAATGTTGTAATGTTGCTTTTTACTTATGCTAAACCAGGTTTGTACCTTCTTTTATGCAGAGCTAATGAACTACAGCCCTAAAGCCTCCTCTATCACATATATATTATTAAAGAGCAAAAATTTGAACCTTATTATTTCAGTGGAGCCTTCTCTTGACTAACTCTGTGACTGAAAACGATATCAGCCGTGCTATCCATGTCCATACTCTAATAAATCGACTCCAAAGTCCAAACCAAATTAAACAGGCAATAAATCGAATCACAGCTTTCCCCGCTGAGTCCGTTTTCTTCAACCCCCCTGAGTTCGTTTATGTTTCTCTTTTTTCTCCGCTTTGATTCCAACAGTTTTTTTCTCATTTGAGTCCATCCACCCAAATGGTGCGATTTTGAACGCATATGGTGCAATTTTGAATTTCCGGTTCATGACCTTTTTTTTCCCTGGTCCGTCCTTTTGTGCCGGTTCCGCTAACTTTTTTTCCTGTTTTTTTTTTCCTTTTTCCATGAAGCATTCGTCTTTTTCGTATAAATAACATTTCCCAAGTATCACTTGCTTTTTCTTATAAACATAAAAAACAAATAATAAATACAATATTAAGAGTCTTACAACCCTTAACCATTCCTTAATAAATAAATATTCTCACCACAAACCTGGATCAACCGATAGTCCAACTAATCAAACTGTAAATTGAAATATTGGGTAGTTCTTTATCTAAATAAATGTATCTCCAAGTTTTACATATAAAACAGTGCGATTTTCGACGAGGGTTGCTATGTGAAAAATCAAGAGAGATCTCTATCAATCCTTGACACAACGGTAACTAACTCTTTGCTGATTTAATTAGATAAGGAAGTCACATAACTTGATATTTAATTCTACCAACACATGGATAGTATGAAAAATAATGTTATGATATACTCCCTCCGTTCTAAATGGTAAGTCATCCTAGCCTTTCTAGCTATATAGTTTTACTATGTACCTAAACATAATACGTATCTAAGTGCATAGCAAAAGTCATGTTTCCAGATAAGCCAAAACGACTTACAATGATAGAAAAATATTAAGATTGTATTTTAATTCGATATCTAATTAATATTACATTTTCATAATATTGCCCATACATCGTTAAAAAATCATAGCTTTTAAATTTTTACGAAAATGGTAAAACATAAATCGATATACAACATTCCCATTTTTTATTTGATAGTTTTTTCTCTCTGTTGCCATGCACGAGCATATTTGCTAGTCAGGACGAAGTAAAAACTATCTGTTGCCATGCACGAGCATATTTGCTAGTCAGGACAAAGTAAAAACTAAGAAACCTTATTCTTTAAAAAATGGATTCCGGAGCAATTATCCTAAAAAAATCTTAGTATGAAATTTTTATTTTAATGACTTGTTTTATACGAATATTGAATGGATCTTAGTAAAATATTAATGCTCATGGAATAAAATTCCTGTCTGTCGCTCTTTCTCCTCAAACAACTATTTTTCCACGAATGTAGTTTTCTTGGTGTGTGCAATCCTCTGTTTTGTTCGATTCTATTGAGTTTGTCCTTTGTATTCATGTGGTTTCTTGTTCCTACCATCTAAAAAGCCTTAACCGCTCACTCCAAATATCCCGTTCTGTTTGTTATCTTATAGATTTTTTATTGCAGCTTGCAATTTGTTACAAGTTACAATCTGCAAGCTGAAACAAGCATATCCAAAATTTTAACAATCTATAGGCTATATGAGGAACCACTCAAATGAGCTAAACCACATGTATCAAGCATAAATAACACAAGGTTGAATGCCATACATTGATCACACCACACATTTTACAACTATTACATATCTGGTTCGAGTTTACATCACCATAAGTTTTGAGTCATGCAGCAAAATGTTCGTATCACCTCTCATGCATCCTACTAGCAGCTAGTTTAAAACAAATGAGCCCATCAAGTTCATGGCAACACAAAAAGGTTGGCCATCACTCCTCGCCCTCGCTATCCTCCGTGGAAAACAAGTAGTTGTACATGGCTGTTTGTTCACCTACATTACAACTTAATGGTAGCATCACAAGCGTAGTGTGTACTCGTATGACTTTCCCGACAATAATACATTTAATGGATAGGATAGCATCAAGTGAAAAGATGGGTAAGTGGTTTGCATAAAACTATTTCATCAAATTATGATAAGGAAAAGACATAGCATCTATATTCTTTAGGTCAAACATCAAACATTTGCAAAGAGTACAAAAAATCATAAATATGAGCTCAATATTCCATAAGATCTTCCATCAACACCCAAGATCTTGCATATAACCGGGAGCATTGCAATTTGAATATGTTACATAACCTGCTGAGGTGTACAACTTAACCCACATTGTTATGGAGTGATTCGAGAGTTATCTAATAGCATCCAGAGCACATCTACAAACCTACATTCACCATGCATCAAAGGTGTCAGGCAAGGTCATCAATGGTGGTATTCGACCCCCTATACTCAAAGGGCTTGACCTATGTCAAAAAATGGTAGGGAGAAGCTTACTAGGACAAAGAGGAGCACGAGCTAGGGTGGTTGTGTAGAACTACATTAGGAAGGTAGAAGATGAAGAAAACTTGGAGAACTCCTCCTTATACCCTATGGTGATATAGAGCTTGGGGAAGAAGTGGATGAGCCTGTCACCATCCTTCTCGAACAATATTATTTTAATGAGCTTCTTCGAAGAGGTGAGGTAGGGTGGGGATTTGGGGGAGGGGTGTAGGAGGTTGTCTTCTTGGGCTATTGATTTTGTTGTTTATAAACTTGTTGCTCCAACAGTTGGTCTCTTGGTTTACCAGATTCATTGAAACCTAGTCCAATTTTCTCTAAAGACCGTTGTTCCTCCTGTTCCATCTCTTCTTCCTCTTCATCAGATTCCTGTAGCTCCATCCTCCTGAGCAGGTTAGAACATTCCTCAGTTAAACTTCCTGTTTTAGCGAGCCTTCTAAAAGCTTCCCATTTAAAGTGTGGAGATTCATCATATAGACTTTGCCGGTTGTTTTCCACCACTTTGCATTGAGACTGAACACAAACCATAGTTTCAGGCGTCATCAACTTCTCTAAGGAGTTATAGCTATTCAAAAAAACTTCTTCTGTGTTAGCACAATCACTTCATGTTGTCACTTCTGCAAATTCAGTAGTCATAGACTGAGAGTCCATTCCATCACCAATATCAGCCACCTTCATCCCATAAAAGCTCTCAAGCTTATTATGTGCTCTAGGTATAAAATCATAGCAAGTATCAATATTGGAATGTGAAGATTCTCATATGACACTAGCAGCTTGGACACATTGCCTTCCATTTGCAGTACCAGCTGCCTCTCTTGATCCATAAAAGCTTCCAATTGCAAGTTACTACTTACTATCTGATAACCTGTATTCTGACCAAACCTTGATACAGGGGTCTTTTCTTTGGATGATGTCCCTTCTTTGAGTCCATCATCATATCATTGTTGTTATCCTCTTCTCCATCCAAATCATCAACTTCATCATCATTGTCTTGTCCATCATCCCCTCCACCATCATCACCATTGCCATTACCAGTACCTTGGTTCTCAACACCTTCATCTTCCACTATAAAGAGATCATATAAAGCTTCTTGTTCATCTCAAAAAGCCTTTCTATTGGCATTCCTTTGCAGTCCTTGCAAGCCACTTTGACTCTCACCACTTCATAGAAGGACTTTGAAAGGATCAAGATGCCCAAGAGTGGGGGTGAATTGGGCTAATTCTAAATTTCTTTGCAATAATTAAGACATACGGTTAGCCCAACTAACCCCTTATGCCTAGAAAGTGTTTCTATTGAACTAACGCACAAAAGACTTGCAACCTAAGTTCCAATCCTACTCTAGCATGACAATTCTATGAATGTAAGAACACAAATTGAAATGCTCAAAGTAAATGCTCAAAGTAATAGAGAGGAGAGGAAACGCGGCGATGTTTTGCTGAGGTATCGGAGAGTCGCCACTCCCCACTAGTCCTCGTTGGAGCACCCACGCAAGGGTGTAGCTCCCCCTTGATCCGCACAAGGATCAAGTGCTCTCTACGGGTTGATTCTTCGACACTCCGTTGCGGTGAATCACCCACAACCGCTCACAATGTGAGTTGGGTCATCCACAAGCTCTCCGGATGATCACCAAGCTCCCAATCACCACCAAGCCGTCTAGGTGATGGCGATCACCAAGAGCAATAAGCACGAACTCTCACTTGACCACGACAAGCCTAATGAGATGGGTGGATGCACACTTTGCTACTCTTGATCTCACTAATGAGGGCTCTCTTTGGGATTCTCAAATCTCAATCACCTCACTAGGACCTTGCTCTTCTTGGCACTCTCAAACATGTTTCTCGGCTGTTGGAATGAGAAAAAGTACCCCCACACACGAGTGG